AAAAAAAAAAAAAAAAAAAAAAAAAAAAAAAAAGACAAGACAGTGTTCAGTTCTGTAAGTGTAGAGCTGGTAGTAATTTTGTTTTGTATTTTCAACAACTTGAACTGCAGGAGGTCATGTTACCCATCTTCTCAGAAAAATTAAGTTGTTTTTACCCTTCTGTTAAGAACATGTGGAGTACCACATGTGGAGTTTAATAACGATTATGCTTATTTGTTGGACAATATTCTGATGAGAATTGATTTGAGACCTTTTTTCTTCCCCCTTTTGTTTACTTTCAAGGCTTAATTTTTTTCAAGTTCCACTGTGCTGTGATGGATTTGACTTTCCTTGTGGTATAATGGGTTGGTAGGTGCTGTGCACTCTTGAGGGTTTCCTTGCACCTGGCAATGGTATTTTAGCAGTCTTATTCTACTTAGCACACTTGGGTGTCTAACTCTTGTTTTTAATGAGAGTTTAGAGAGTAAGAAAGATACTGTCATTTTTGTTGTCTGGATAGATATAGCATGTGTGTAGTGGAACTGTCAGCTTCTTGGGGATAATGTTATGCCACCTAAATGAAAAGAATAAAAGAACTTTTACAGAAGTTCCCCTTTTACCTTAGTATATTCGTATTTGGTTTTGGACCTTTCTTTAGATAACATAGAAGGTACACAGGGACACATATGCTGTTTTGGCAGATCACACTTTCAAGAAGGAATGATTTTTTTTTAGTTCCTTCACTGTAGGAAAGGCATTCTTCTGAAGTGCCATCCCAATACTTCTAAAATATGAATTCTTCAACACTTTTTCGTGTAGTTCATTTTCCATGATTAAAGTTGTATCAATTTGGTGTGCTTTTTGCTTAAATTTTTTTATTCTTCTGACTATTTCATAATGTGCATATTGTTGATATGCACATTCAGACCTTTAAAGGATTATTAGGGTGATCTTTACTTTATTCTATGAACAATGGTTCCAGTGTTGTCACTTGCTCTTTAGTGATCAAGTTTTAATTTTTGTGCTCTTTCTGCTAGCACTCTTTCCCACAGTGCCTAAAATTAACATCTGTCCTTTAAAATATAAATATCAGGTCTCTCTATGTGAGACCAGCCCGCTTGGGTTTTGCAGGAAGGAAATCCCAAAAGAGGCAGTGGTAGGTGAGGATGATAGCTGTCAAATGGGACTGTTCTCAGAGGCCAGAGTGAAGGGAGGTGTCACATTTCTGACTGCAGTTTGGCACTGCAGTTCCTTTGCATGTGTCAGGCTGACTGACTGTGTTCTGACGGTGGGAGCTGTGAGATGTACACATGTTGGAACTGAGCTGTTTGTGAAGGCAAACATGGTCAACGGCCTGATCAAACTGGAAAATTTTAATAAAAGTTACTGTTTTTTCACCCTTAACTGCCGTATCGGTTGTATCAGCACTACCAAATTAAACAGTGCTGAAGAGCATTCCATGGTGCTAAAACTTAATTGTTCTTGCTGTTAAAATGTTATGATGGATCCTGGCAGGGTTTTGGCTCCATCCAACTAGCTGTTTGCTTGCTGATTCCCTGACAAAGTTTGGGAATTGGCAGGGGAGGCCCATGGGCTTTTCCTCACCTATTAAGTGCTGTTGCCATTTTGGAGGGTAGAAGTTTAGTAGTACAGGGCAAAGTTGTTCCATTCCAGTTGGTTTCTGGTTCCATTTGTTTGCATAGACTTGGTTCTCCGTAATGTAAAGAAAAATGAAAATGTGTTTTTCAACAGGAAAAGCAACTGAAATTTTAAAATGAGTTTCGTTCTGGTAACCTTAGGTAGTGGCCTAGCATAGTGGTTGTTGGAGTTTTCTTGTTATTACTTAGCAGTATCTCAGTCCTGATTCTTGAGAAAACAGTTTTAAGTCTCACATTTGTTCATGTTTTATCTACAATAATCCTGCTTGAAAACTAACCTTTTTTTTTTATCAGAGTTGTGATCCTGACAAGGACACATGGCTCATTTAGTTTCTGGCATTGGGAACAAAAGATGGTAATCCTGCCTTCTCACTTTGCACATTCCTTAAATGAAGAGTTATTAATCTTAGTTTTTAGAATATGTCTCAGTTTCAAGTTGGCTAAATCCACTAAATTCTTAATACTTAAAATGCATAACCATTAAAATAATATTTTAAAGATCACATTATCATAGAGATTACTCTCCCATTTGAAAGTGATCACTGGCAAAATACCACATTAATAAAAATTACAATTTTTTCTGTGAAATTCCTTCTGGTGTATTTTCTTCCCTGGCAGTTGGGGGCAGAACTTCATCCAACATTTCCATAGAAAAAAGCCCCACAGAAACTGGGAATTGCTGATCTTAGCATATGAATAATTTTGGGATCTCCTTGAAGAACTTAAATGTCAAAAGGGTTTATAAGACAAGAAAACAATTTTTAAGGAAGACTAGTCTAAAAATTTCTGTGATGAATGTCCCTCGGAGCATGGTTACTGGGGAAAGGTTGGCTTAGAGAATCTAACATTAACTTCACCTTTAATTACAGCTCTGACTTTCACCTTCTAATTCATTCAGTCAGCCACTTCTGTGTAATGTCCCCATTTTTAGGTATGGTTAAACCATCACTGATCCATTTTACTGCTAATGCAGCAAGGAGGCAATGACAGGTTCAGTGCGGAGCTGGCAATGGGGAAAGGTGAAAGAGCGGTCAGAGGAGAAAGCTGTGGCTGAGGTCAGTGCTGTAAAAGTTAGAAAATATAAAGGCTGGAAAGATTGACAAAGATCTTTACTCAGATAAGCTGCCTGTCTAAGGTGGATGCATAAGG